TCAGGGACTTTAAACCAAGAACACAGAACCTCAGCAAGAGCAGGATCCTGTCTGTGTCCCTCAGAAGCCACTGGTGTTTCCTGGGTCTCTGGTCCATACTGGGTCCCTCCTGGGCACTGCCTCTTCCTGTGACAGTGACAGTCTTTGTGTCCAGGACAGGTCCTGGCGGGGGCCCTGGGCCAGCAGGGAGGCTGTTATCTCTTTATGTTCATTTTGCTACTGGCAATCTACCTTGATCCTATTTCTGACAGTCACTCAGTGTACCCTTTTGGGTTTTCTAAGTACTGTATACCATCGTTTCATCTGTAATGACCAGCACTCTCTCTCTGCATTTCCTCGTCTTTCCAGTGTTTTACCACAAAACATCATACTTTCTGTTTTTTGAGACTGGGACTTGGCATGCTGTTCTGCTGGCCCTGACCTCACTGTGTAGCCCAGGCTGGCCTCAAACTCACAGTGATCCTCCTGCTTCAGCCTCCTGAGTGCTGGGATTACAGGTTCATGCTGGCTTTTGACTGATGATAAAGAGCTACTCATGATTCCTGCTTTATTAAGAGTGTTCTTACAGGAATGGATGCAGTTTTACAAATACCCTTCTGGTGTTAGAGGGAGTCACGTGTAAAACTGTAGACTGGTGAGACGCCCTGGGTGTGACCCTCCTAGCTGTCTTCGATGGAAGCTGCTTGCTGTGGTGCATTGTATGAATGGCTGCTGGGATTTGCTTTGTTTACACTTTAGATGGATGTGCGGAGGCTTCTTAGAGAGCCCAGGTTGTCCCAGTCTGTGTGCTGGCCCATTCCCCTGCTGCCAGGGCACCTGCTGAGACTGCAGCCCGAGCATGGGCTTTGTGCTTATCTGGACGTTCAGTCCCCTTTGTTGGTCACATATGGGATGGCATGGGGTCCTGAGAGCGGGAGTCGGTGTCCTGTGACTCCGCCTTGCTTCTCTGACCTCCCCAGGCCTCTGAATTCTTTTATGGCCACCCAGTCCCCGTGGCAACCGGCTGCCACCCCCAAGGAGAGTGGTATTGGCATGGAAGGCCACGCTGCAGTTTCGTGGCCCAGGCAGAGGGCTGCACTGCCGAGAGCCACCCTGTGCATTCACAGGACCTGGCCTGCAACTGCCCCAGGCTGGGGAGGGGCCCCTGTGCTGGGCACAGCCACAGGACAGCAGACATCTCCTCTGGAGTCTGCCAGGCCAGCTCAGGCCTGGCTAAGGAACCCTGGACTTGGGCCCAGAGCCCAGTGGGTCTGTTAGGGGATTTAGGCCACCCCACCCTGTGTTGGGCTCCTCCGGGTCCCCACCCCTGCCTGGGCCTGCTGTTTCCTTCTAGGCAGACAAAAGTGTCTTGCCCCACCAGATTGAACCAAGCCTGGTTCACTGCCCAGGCGTGTGACCGCTGGTGTCAGAGGACATAGGCCATCCTACCGTCTGACTTCCTGGGCAGAGCCAGGCTGCCAGGTTCAAACCCAGGCTTCCCATGTGTGATCAGCTTCGTGACTCAACAGGGATAGGAGCATTGTGCGGCTCTTGCTGTGCGGAGCCATCGGGTGTCCTCTGGGCAGAGGCTCAGGAAGGCCCTGCCACAGAAAGGCTCAGCAGCGGCTTCACTAAAACTAAACCACAGCTCCAATCTGTGTCACAACTATGCAGCACCGCTCAGCCGCTAAGCAAACGGGAGCTGCAAAGGACTGTGGTTTCTCTGGGCACTCATTTTGTCAAGAGGATCAATTCCTGCAGGGAATGTGGGCAGGAAACCTAAGCCTCATCCTGCTTGGTCGCTGGTCTGCCACTGTCTACACCCACCTCCTCTTCAGTGGAAAAGATAACCAGAAAGTGTGCAAAATAACAGAACCGGCAGCTCTTCCGGCCGGGCTCCTCCTGGCGCACACCTGTGGGTGTGGGGTTGGGGACGCCAGGCTGCACAGCTCAGTGGGCCAAGTCCTGCAGCCTCCCCTGGACATGAAGGCCACTGCAAGAGATTTGTGTGGGGCAGCCTGGGGAGCTTGGGGGACTGCTGGACGCAGGAGGCTCATCCTGGCGTCAGTATTTGGAAATGGTAGAAAAAAGTCAGAAGAAATGTTCTTGACATGTAAAATTCTCATGCAGCTCACACGCCTGTGCACCTGAGGTTTTGCTGGAACACAAGCCCGCCTGTTGTGCGTGTCAGGGACAGCAGACACCGTGGTGGCTGCGCAGGCAGCTGTGCCGAGTCCTGCGACCCCCAAAGCCTCAGACACGGGTCTGCTGATCCCAAGCCCGCCTGCTGGCAGCTCCGCCAGGACTGTGTGGACCGCGTGCAGTGGGGGCCAGCGCGGGACCCAGGACAGTGTGGAGAGAGTGGGCACAGTGAGGCAGCAGCTTCTCTGGAGCAGGGCCGCAGGGCTCTGGGGGCGTGGGGCCTCTGTCTAGGCCGGATGAGGACATTGCGGTGCGGGGACCCTCCTGCCTGCCAGGCTCCTGAGATTCGCTCTCCATCCTCTCCTGGAGTCGGAGGCCCAGGGCTTGGGGATCGGCGCGTCCCTGACCGCGGGCCATCGAGGGTGGCTTGCTGGCGGCTCCCTGACTTGGAGCAGGGGAAGGACTTGGACTCCTGGTTGCTTTGGGGGGAAATTGTTTCTCTCCCCCTCTGCTGCTGGACACCGGTAAGGAGACACGGCGCCCCTGCAGGCTGGCGGAGGTAACAGCGGATGTTGGTAAGGAGGGTGGGAAACGGGCCGTCCTTATCCTGGAGCTGCAGAACCCCAACCCTGAAGCTTACCCTACCTCGAGACTTCCTGCTGCGCATGACCCGAATCTCCCTGAGTCAGGTTTTCCTGGGCCTCCTGGCTGCAGACACTCATGCTGACAGAGGGGCTTCCTGGTGAGGTGGGCACAGGACCTGACCTGATAGGCAAGGGTCGGGAAGCAAAACTGTCTGGAAACGGATGCACAGCCGCAGCTTGTGACTGGAACGGAAAGTGGGAGTGCTGATGGCTAGGTCTCCCTCGGGGCTGGCGGACCCGTCGTTGGGGCACACAACAGGGTCGAGGCCAGGACTGGATGGCAGGCGCTGGCCCGATCTTGGTGATGTCCTCTGCGGCTTGAGCCTGCTCTGTGCTGCATCTCGCGGCGGTGCAGCTGTGATGGGAATGTAGGTCTCAAAGAGCTGGGCCCCTGCCCCGTCCAGAGCCCTGGGTCCCCCAAAGCCGACCCGGCGTCCCTGGGGAAGGAAGAGGCGCCCAGGCGCAGGACCTGAGAGCCCTCCAGCGGTGACATCTGTGCTCCCGGGAGGCAGCGGGGGTCGGCCTGCCTGTCCCAGGCCAGAGGGCTCCCCTGCCTTGGGAACTGAGGACGGGGACCTGGAGGTGGGCATCAAGGGCACCCGTGAGAGTCTCAGCCCTGCAGGAAAACCCGGTGGTGGTGGTGGGATGGAGTCCAGCAACAGGGAAGCCAGCTGGCTTTGGTGAGGAAAGTGCAGTGGGCAGGACACGGAGGTTCCTGGGCCAGGAAGGGGCTCGGGTGGAGGTCCCTTCTCAGGCCTGGTGAGAGGACTCCGGTGAGGACACCAGGGGCCGTCGGCAGCAGGGAAGGATTATGGGTCCCTGAGGAGCGGTGCGAGGACAGGCGACTACTGACAGAGACCCAGGTGGGCGACACTGTCCTGAGGGAGCCCTCAAAACTGTGAGGGAGGACGCAGAAGACAGAGCTCAGCTGTGCCAGGACAGTGGTGGCACCATGGTCCCGGGTGTCCACATGGCCCAGTTCTCCCTCCAAGCCACAGACCTGGTTCTGTTCTTGCCAGCTCCCTTCCAGTCCCCCTGCCTGTTGCTTGTCATTTGGAGACCTGGGGAGAGGGGAAGGGCGCCCATGAAAGTCTCAGCCACACAAAGGAGGGACAACGCTCCTCCCACCAGGACGCAGTGCGCATTCGGTTCCACTCCAGTATGCTGTCTGCAAAGACTACCTCGGGCACGTCCAACTCCGTGGCCTGAGACTCGGTGGCACTGTCTCCTTGCACATCTGCAGTGAGGAGTCACAGCGGCGGTGGTGCTGGTCCAGTGACATTTTCTCCTGACACTGTCCTCTCTCCACTGTGTCCCAGAAGTTTGGTCAGAGTCAGGGTTGGACCCACAGGCTAAAGGACCGGTCCTCCAGGATGGCTCCCGCCAGCCAGCCCAGGTCCCTGTCACCTGTACTTCTGAGGGACAGCATCAGATCCAGGACTCTCAGGAGTTGGAGGGAGACAGTGTTCCGGAAACACTTTCCTCATGGGGCAAGTGCACGGCCAGGGGAAGGGCTGGTGGGGAGGACTGGGGCATCCTAGGCACAGCTTTGTGCCCTTGAGTTTGAACAGAGGTCTCCATGCAAAAGCTGCTCCTGTCACTCCAGGGGCTCTGAGGGAGCAAGCGGCTGAGGCTTCTGTTCCAGGAAGCTGATCCTGCCAGGACAAGGTGGTGGGGGAGCAGCTGCCCTGGGCTCGCCATGGGCTCTGTCCCAGCTCTGTGACCCTCCAGCACTGCAGTTCCGGCCCGGTATTCTTCCCTACAGGAGCCCTGCTGTGAAGGGTCGGGGCCAAGTTTAGGCACCGTGTGACACCACTGTGTTGGTAGAACAGGGTCCCGTTTCATCTCACAAGCCCCGAGTCCAACCTCCCGTGTGCCCACAGCACCCCAGGCTCGTAGCTCAGCCCTCACCAGTGCCCAGCAGATGGAGGGGAGCAGGGGAACACATTGCCCCTGGCTCCTGCTGTGCCCACACGTCCCCTCCCTATCTGGGCCTCTCCCCTCTCACAGCAGCAGGCTGGCTTTTCTTTGTCTCACGCCAAGCGAGTCTTCCTACTGGACCTACCGAGGTCACCTTTGGCCCCAAGCACAGTCAAGCAGGGTGAATGAGGAACCATGTAGGCAGCCAGTGGCCAGGCGAGCATGAGCATGGGGTAGGGAGGCAGGAGAGCTGGGTGGAGCCCCACATGAGGTTGCAGGAGACACCGTTGCCCAAGAGGCTGGCTGTACCCACAGGTGCACGACCGGCTGGATCGCTACTGCTGCGGCTTCCGGCCTGAGCCCTCAGACCCCTGTGTGCAAGAGAGGCTGCGAGAGAAATGCCAGAACCCGGCAGAGCTTCGGCTGGTGCATATCCTGGTATGGACCCCACACCCAAACCACGCCTGGCTCTGCGATGTCCTCCCCACCTCCATCCCCGGGCCTGGGTCTGCGGTGTCCCCTGCCCCTCCTGCCCTTTGTCCGGGGTCCGTAGTGTCCTCTCCACCCCTCAATCCCCTAGTCTGGCTCTGCGGTGTGCTCTCCACCTCTTTTCCCCATCCTGGGTCTGCGGTGTCCTCTCCCCATTCTGTCCCCAGGCACGGATCTGCAGTGTCCTCTTCCACTCCTGACTCCGGGCCTGGGTCTGTGGTGTCCTCAATCCCTGGGTCTGCGTCTGCGGTGTCCTCCCCGCTCCTTTCCCCCGGCCTGGTTTTGTGGTGTCCTCTCCACTCTGTCCCTGGGCCTGCATCTGTGGTGTCCTTTCACCCTCCTGTCCCGGGCCTGGGTCTGCGGTGTCCTCTGCCCTTTCTGTCCCCAGGCTTGATTCTGCGGTGTTTTATCCCTGTCCTGTCCCCGTGCATGGGTCTGTGTTGTCATATCCACTCCTACTGACTGGCTTGGTTCTGCGGTGTCCTCTCCCGCTCCTGTCCCCTGGCCTGGGTCTGCAGTGTCCTCTCCCCTCAAACCCCGGGCCTGGGTCTGTGGCGTCCTCTCCCCCTCCTGTCCCTGGGCCTGGGTCTGCAGTGTCTTCGCCCCTCCTGCCCCCAGGTCTGGTTTTTTGGTGTCCTCTGTCCTCCTCAATCCCCGGGCCTGGGTCTTCGCTGTCTTGCAGCAATGCTGTGGCTGAGTTGAAGGAAGGATCTGCATGGGGGTTTCCAATGCTGTTGTTCCCTTCCCCTGAATGGTGTTTTAGCAGAAGCCACACTAGAGAAAGCAGGTGAAATGGAGCACCGGGGTATGGGTGAGGTGGGCAGGGGCCAGGCCCCGAGAAACTCCAGGGAACCCCATGGCTCCTGGAAGTGGTGTCTGAGAACCAGGACTCGGAATGGGACGCACACAGCCACACCACATTCTAAGGCTCTGAGGGATCTTGGTCAGTTTGGGAACAGCCTCGGCACAGACTGCTGTGGAAGGGGAGCGTGGCCTGGGCTTTCTGAGGACAGAGGACACTGCCGGGGCTGAGCCACAGTGGCAGGGCGTGGCGGCAGGTGATGGTCGTGGGCGAGCAGGCCCTCTGCACAGCCCTGTGTTCCCTGGCCGTGCTCTGGCCCTGGGGTAGCTGTGTGACCCGCACTTGTGGCTTCACCTTTTCACACCTCTGTTCCTGTTACTAGCAACATGGGTGCCTCCTCCTGAGGTTGCTGCTGGGTTCCCAGAAATAGATGATGCCTTGGAGGCACTTTAGCACAGCACCGAGTCCAGGCGAGGTGCTCAGCCACAGCGACTGCGTGGACATGCAGGGGGGCTGGGGGCCCACTCCCTGCTTCCCATCCCCTTCCTCCAAGGTCCGGGGCAGCGCCCCATCTCGCCTCGTCTACATCGACAATGCCGGCATGCTCCAGCACCCCAAGGACAAGCTGAACTTCCGGCTGCTGGAGGGCATAGACAGGTGAGGGGCCCCGGACGGAGTGGAGGGCCTCTCTGCTGGACCTGGCTTGGGGCAGCGGGAGTCCAGGAAGCCCAGGGCGGAAGCAGTGGCGGCTCCCTTATGTCCAGGGCCCTGTCCCAGCCACCCTGCTGCCCAGCGGCAGAGCCAGAGAGGCACCTCTCCTGCCCAGGCCACACACCCAGCCTTCCCAAGCTCACAGGGCCCTGCCTGGGTGATGGGTGACGGGTGACCTGCGAGGCTTTCCCATGGGACAGGCCCCCAGACCCTTCTGTCCTGCTTTTCCACACAGCAGGTCAGTCCCTTGGGGGGTGGAGAGCAGGGCTGCCCACCTGCCTCGCCTCTGTCAGACTCTGAGTGAGGTCACTCTGCATTTCCTGTTGTGGGCTCCAGATTCCCGGAGGCAGCTGTGCAGGTCCTGGCATCGGGTTGTCTACAGAACCTGCTGCTCAAGTCCCTGCAGATGGATCCAGTGTTCTGGGAGAGCCAAGGCGGGGCCCCGGGGCTGACACGGGTCCTCCAGACGCTGGAGTGGCGGGGACGGGTCCTGCTGCAACACATCCAGAAGCACAACCTCACGTTCTTCCGGGATGAGGACCTGGAGCCACCACGGCCCAGGTGGGTGGGTTCTGCCGCTGGGCGCCCTGTGACGCCACCCTAGCCAACCGTGTCCATCCTGATGGCCGTGCCTCCTTGGTGCCAGCAGGCAGGACATGTGGGTATCACCTTTCGCAGTGGCAGAGGTGGGGCTGGGCATGCCTTTCCGCCTTCTCGGGCCGGCCTCTAGCCTCCTGCACTCCCGAATGGGTCCAAGGGTGCTGTGGGACCTGCACCACACACCTCCACTGGTGCACGGCCTGTGTGATGCACACAACACACGCAACGAGGCAAATGGGATCTCCCGGGAATACCTGTGGTCCCCAAGTGCTGAGAAATTAGGCACTAATCATGCATCTTCAAGGCTTTCAAAGTTCGATTCTTCATAGTTTTGGGCTTAAAAATTATAAATACATGCTCACTGAAAAGTTCCCAAATAGCAGCAGCATAGAAGACAAAAAGTGAAAGTCAGCCCTAGAAACCCCTGGAGATGTGTATGTGACAGACTCACACTACATGCTAATTCAATAACGGAAGACGGGGTCGGACAGCGCTTGTCATGCCCCGGTTTTACTTTCCTGACTCTATCTGAACTGCCTACTTTTTACTGGCAATCACAGAGCGTCTCTTACTCAGCTCTCCCCATGACAAGGGGCATTTAAGTTGCAGGCACTGCTGCTGCGGACACCAGGGCTGGGTGGGCTTCTGCGTGGGACTTCGGGTCAAAAGCCTGGTGACTCCGAGGAACCGCTGAATCGCTCTCTGGAACATGGCGATGTACGCTTCTCCGAGAGGCGAGAGCACGGATTGCTTCCCTGTGCCCTCACCCACACCCAATCTTCTTGGAGTGGTCCTTTAAATATGAGAGCAAGGGCCAGGGATTTAGCTCAGTGGTTCCACCACCTGCCTTGCAAGCGCAAGGACCTGAGTTTGATCCCTGGTACCAAAGGAAAAAAAAAAAAGAGAGCAAAAACTGTTCTACAGACAGCACTTCCTTTCTCACAGGTGACGTTATCTATGGGCTCCAGGTGCTGCCGACTTGCCGGAGACCTCTGAAGCTAACTGATGAGCCCCGGCCGAGGCAGACCTGGCGGATGCGCTCGCCTGCTGTCGGTCACATGTGTCTCGACTCTGGAGCCTTTTCGCCAGGCAGAACACTTTCATTTCCATGCAGACTCCGAGTCTTCCGGGCTCCACACCTGCTTAGAAAGGCTGTCACTACTTCAAGCTTGTCAAAGTGCTCTACACAGTATTACTTTTGTAGTCACCTAAAACCACAGGAAACTTAGATTTGAGGGCGGTCTGAGTCAGGGATCTAACTTGTTCCATCTTCCTCCAAATGAGCCACAGTTGTTCGAACACCAGCTGCTCCTTCTGTACCGGTCTCTGCGTGTCACGTCCTACCTCGTTTCACAGAGGGCCATCTGGGCACTGTTCTGTCCCACTGATAGGAAGTTTTTAATTTCTGCATCAATATTACACAGTTTAAATGAGTTATTATTTTTTTGCTATATGGTAGGGCCAGCTCCCATCTTTTCATCCTTTTTTGCTACCTCTGTGCATATCTTAAATATGACAGGAATCAAGCTGCTCCTCTCCCACTGCCCTCCAAAGCCCTTTGGTGGTTTGACTGCGATTATATCAAATTTACAGAAGTATTAGTACGTGGTAGCCTCCCCCATTAGTGTCCAGACTTCTGGCTCCCAGCTAGGTCTCTGTGTGGACTCACGTGGCAGCTGTGGCGGTGGCAGATGGAGGCTGTCAGGGGAAGGCACAAGGCACGTGTGAAGACAAGCGTGTGGATAATGGACAGTCTGGGGACAGCAGAGTCCACCTGGGCACCAGACCGAGGCCACTGTTCCACAACAGCCGTGGGCCACTGACTGGCGCAGCAGGACCGCCATGGAAGACAACGCCGGCCCAGGAATTCCAATCAGCTGGAGATGACTTCTCCGCACTGAGCCCCTCCGTCAGTATACCACTGCCCTTCTGCCTGCACAGTCTCCTCCTCCCAGGGTGATCTGAACAGTGGCTTTGTTTCCGCAGGAGCCAGACTTCCTGGACATCAGGAGCAGGGATGGTCAGCTGCTGAGGGAAGACAGTGAGTGGCAGCTGGGCTGTGAGAAGCCACCGCTGTGGCCCCCTCAGCTCAGCAGCTGGGCACTGGGCAGCCTACTACAGGGCCTGGAGCTACGCCTGTGGGCTCGGAAGGGACTGGGTCCTAGGTGCCCTGAGCCAAGGCTGTCGTGCTGCTACTGAAGTGACCTCGTCTCTCCCATGGAGCAGCCCAGGAGCAGAGGTCACTCTGGGGACCCTGCTGGCAGGCACAGTATGCCCGGTCTGAGCCCGAGGGGAGGCTGGTGGGTGCCTCTTCTTCCCCATAGCCAGCTTCTACCCCACAGGGCTGGGGGTGGCGTCCGCCCAGCCTGCCCACTCCATGACCTCGTTGGGAGACAGTCGGACAGGTGTCAGAGTGTACATCTGACAGCTCCCCTTCTGTCCAATGAGAACTCTCGACAGAGGCATTCACAATCATTTAATGACTGCTCCAGACACATCGCCACTGGGCCACCATGGACCAAGGCCTCGCAGCTCCAAGGGGCCTGAGCCCCAAGCCCAGGGAGCCGTTAGGAAAGAGCGAGGTCACTGAGCCAGAGCGGGACCTGGATTCTCGCTTCCTTCCTCCTCCCCCCTCCCCCGCGAAGGAACGCTCCGTGTGGACAAGCAGGACAGAGAAGGGGTGTGGAGCCCGGATGTAGCAGGGACAGCGCAGTTGGAAGTCACCCCGCAGGACCACAGCCTAGGCCCCAGGCCTGGAGCCCCAGCCGGCGCCGCTCGCCTGCTATGTGGTGCACACCAGCACATCTGCGAAGGGCCCCGGCAGCGTCTTGTTGAAGATGCAGCGGACCCACACCAGGTAGGTGGTGAAGGGCTTGATGTTCTCGGTGAAGGTGTGGTTCTGCAGCGCCAGGATGTAGGGCACATAGGTGTTCTCGCCCTGCTCCTGCAGCCATACCTCGTAGCGCACCTCCCGCACCTTCAGGAACCGGAGGTTCCAGGGCATCTGCCACGACACGGTGAGCCGGGCCTCGGAGGCGCCCTGCACCACCGCCTGGCACCGCGCCTCCCGCACTTTGCCGGGGAACAGGCTGACCGACCACTTCTGTTTCCCTGGCCCCGGCCGGCCCTTCACCACACGCCGGATGGCCTGGAGGAGCGATGGGATGTCCACCCTGGTGTCCTGGTAGATGCGGAAGAGCCACTCGGGGTTCCGGCAGCAGAGATGCCGTGGGACCTCGCGGCTCTGTCGGATGCGGGCCTGCTCGGCTCGGTCCAGGTGCGCGATGCCGCCCTGGTCCCAGGGCCGCTCCGGGTGTGTGACCGTGTTCTCCGGCCTGAGGTTCCGCCAGGCCACATACTGCAGGTCCATGCCGGGCAGTGTGGCCAGGGTCTTGTAGGGTGCGTAGTGGTCGGGGTTGATGGCGTAGGGGAAGAGCTCCACCACGGCCGCGCCCCGGGGCAGGAAGAGCGCGGTGACCAGCTGCGCCCCGTGCATGCTGACCAGCATGGAGGCGTTGCTGACCAGCCGCACGACGTCCGCAAAGGCATGCTCCTCCAGGGACACGGTCACTGTCTTCATCTGGAACTCCTGGGCCAGCGACAGCAGCAGCTCCGCCTCGTTCAGGATGAGTCTGTTGTGGGTGCGGCTGAAGACCAGGATGTACTCCTCAGCAGGCGTGGCCCCGGCGTGGCTCACATTCAGCTTCTCGGTCATGAAGCGCGCGAACTGCCGGATCTCGTGGCCGGACACGAGGATGTTGGCCTTGGGGCCCTGTGGCTGTACGAAGCCATACTGGTACCAGGTGGTGACCTTGGAGAGACCCACAAAGGCGTGGGAGAAGCAGAGCAGGCGGCCCAGGGCCTTGAGCTGGGCCCGCAGCAGCGGTGGCTTGGGGCTGAGCAGCCTGTAGAGATCAAAGTGCGCGCCCTCGCCCCAGCCCTCCATGAAGAAAAGCCGGGCCTCGCGGGCCAGCCCCGGAAACTGATGCAGCGTGTAGAAGATGGGCAGCAGGTCATCGTGGAAGACGTGCATGAGGTTGTCGGGGTTGAAGCGGTTGGCGATGAGGGCCACGTCGGGGACGAACACGGGCTTGGGCATGAAGCGCAGGGCAGCGGCGGGCAGCTCCACGAAGTTGAAGTACTGCGTGTTGTGGTCCTCCACGGTGGACAGGTCGAGCAGCGCCGGCTGGAAGCGCCGGGCGCCCAGGTTGGGCAGCATGATGGAGGAGTTGCCATGGAAGAAGACGAACTCCTCAGCCTCACTGGAGTAGCAGAGCCACTTGAAGCGACAGACGCGGTCCGTGTGCGTTCGGCCCGTGCACACCATGTGGGTGCCGCCCTCCGTCAGGATCTGCAGGGCCTTGGGGTAGTCGATGCGCAGGGCTGTGCCAGGCTCCAGGGCCTGCTGGCCGAGGGCCAGCTCCTCCTCCAGGCTGGCCGCATGCTCACGCAGCCGCACGTGCTTCCACAGCACGGCTGCCAGCACCGACACCAGCAGGGCATTGAGCACTGCAGACAGGTGCATCCTAAGGCCGCCACCGCGGGACTAAGGGGATGATGGCCGTGGGGAAGCACCCATCGTTATGGGCACCGAGGACCAGTGCAGGCCTGCAGGGGAGAGAGAGCACAGGAAACGGAGTTGGCACAGGCCTGGAGGCCCAGCGCCTTTGCTCCCATGCTGCCCGGCACTGCTGGCTCTGCATGCCTGCCCAAGTGGGCTCTGGCCACACGGCACACACAGGAAGCTATGGGCGTCTGGCTGCAGTTCAGGCTGCATAACCTGCTCCGCCAGCGAGAGGCGAGCAGACAACACAAAGATGGGCAGAGCACCTGCACTGGCTGTGTCCTCTGTCCCCAATGATCTGCCATGAGAGGAGCATGCCCAAGCTCACCTGCTGGCCCAGGAGTGGTACGGCGTGGGGCACAGCGGCGCCGAAACCCAAGAAAGCCACCAGTCAGTGCAGCCACCCGCCATGCCCAGCTGAGCTCAACCAGCACAGAGACACTGGGAGAAGCTCTGTGTCTCAGGCAGGGGCGATCGGAAGGCCCTGTGACCTGGGTTCCAGCCCAGGCCTTCTTGGGGGGTGGGGGGAAGTCCAGGAGTCTGTGCCATCTTCATTAAAGGCAGGAGGGAGGGGAAGCAATCTTCCCTGGGGCTTTACAGGAATTATCTATCAACAGAAGGGTTTCTGCTTTGCTAGACTCTGCTTCTCTCTTGGCAGGAGGCCCCGGCTGCTTGCATGCTGCTGTGGTCTACACATCCAGGGTCTCCGGCCCCCAGCCTGGAACTCACGGAAAGCAAAAGGGAAGGGCAGAGAACTGATCTCGTTACTCCTCAAGGTCCTGTTTGTCCCTCTGCTGATCACATCCAGCGTCTTCCGATCTGTGAGTGGGAGGGACGGAGATGCACGGTTACCTGACACCTTGCCAGGTGAGGCAGGAGGGAGGGATTGTTTCTTGATGCTGATGGCCTTGTGCTGGGCCCCACTGCAGTGGTGGCTCCCCAGAAACAGGCAGGGGCATAAACTCCCCGCCGGTGCCCTCCCACACTGCAGGACTCTGAGGACAAACGGGATCACTCAAAGATCATCTGCCATGGTAACCAGCACTATCTCTAGGTACCCCACCGCCGCCTCCGGAGAGATGATACAGGATGTGGTGAACTAGGGCTACTGGGACTGGGACGCTAGGGTGCCTAGCAGTCTGCAGACTTTCACCACTGGGGCTGCTGAGGATGGCAGAAGTTGAGAGGTCAAGGCAGAACCAGACCCCTTCCATCTGCTTCCCGATGGAGATACCAGTGACTGGATTCCTCCTGAAATTCCTGTCTATTCAGAACCTCAGAAGGTGGCTCATTTTGGAAAGAGGGTCTTTGCACTAGTCGGCAGTTAAGGATCTTGAAGTGAGGACATACTGTGTTAGGATGGACCCTAATGCCAATACGAGTGCCCTCATAAGAGACAGGAAAGGGAGCTTCAATATGGCAGACTGAAGCTGGCAGCTTATCACAGCTTCTCTTGGACCTGGAATGGAGACAACTGGAGAACAACTACTTACGAGAAAGAAGAGGCGCTCTGGGAATCAAGAAAGAGCTGCTAGGAAAGTCAGAAATCATGGAGAAGCAGAAGACAATACAGAGAAAGGAGCAAAGCCAGAGCACCAACCTAGCTGGCGGGGATGTGAGCACTTGGTGGGTATGTGCCTGGACACCTAACTCCACAGCGCGAGGCCAGCCCCACAGCCCTAGGGAGAAAAAGTGGACTTGCAGTGCCCACCCAGGAAAAGTCCACAGTCAAGGTGAGCTGCAACTACAGAGTGGGTTTCACTGTGAGAGTGACTCCCTCTGCATGGCTGGCTGGCACGGGAGAAGAAACCCACTGCAGCACCTGCCACATCTCGGAGGGACAGAATCAGGAGCCACTTGGAGAAGGGCTTATTGTGGAAGATGGGCTACTTTGGGAGAGAGGAGGCGGAACAACCACACTTCAGAGTCCCTGGGGTCGCCCTACCACAGTGACTGGGTGGCAAGAGGCCCACTACAGACAGTCATAGAGAGAGAGAGCCAGGTGCAGATCCCGGAGAAGTCTGGGCAGGGGGAGCTCAGCCTTGTGGGCAGCACAGTGGTCCCGCCCTCTTTGTGAGGAGCTGGATCCGAAAGCACCAATGAAATTGAGTCCAGCAGAATGCCTTGTTCTCCTTCTAGGACAGAAATCACTGATCTGTTTTCTTTCCCCATCTGCAATGGAATAAGGAACGTGCCTTGGCTTGGACATTTGCCATGTCCCTGGGTTTATGAGATGGGCTTCCGGAGCAAGTGGGGCACCTCACAAGACCATGGGCTGCAAAGCCAGGAGGGAACAGCAGTGGTTTAGGGTGCACAGAAGGGCACAAATAAATACTAACAGCTGCTGGAGTGAATACAGCCCTGACTGACCTGCCTAGTAGGAAAGGCAGGGCAAGACTCAAGCATCTACACAGCAACCCCGGGACATGGTCAGAAGACCAAATTTGTGAATTTCTGGTGTAGAAGAGAATGCTGCAGTTCAGACTAAGAGAATCTATTTAATGAAATATAACAAGAAACTCCCCACATCTTGGGAGATACTGATATATCAGGTACAGGAGGCATTTAGAATGCAAACAGGCATGACCTGAAAAGAATCTCCCACAACACATTACAGTTAAAATGGCAAGAATACAGAGCAAGGAAAGAATACTGAAAGCTGACAGGGAAAAATGCCAGCCACTTGTAGAGGCAAAAGCTGTGAAAGTAACTTCAGACTTATCTGTAAAAACCCCGAGTCAGGAAAGCATGGAATGATGCACTTCAAGCCCTGAAAGAAAGCAACAGCCAATCCATATCACTATATCCAGCAAAGCTATCCTTAAAAATTGAAGGAGATATAAACATCTCAAGATAAACAAAGAATTAAAAAAATTCACAACCACCAAGCCGGTATTATAGAAGACACTCAAAAGAATCCTACATCCAGAAGAGGAAGGATAGGCAAACTATTAAGAATGAGGAAAGTGTTACATATTAGAAAAATTGTAACACTGGGAATTAATACACAACCTTTCTAAAAACTGAATGAAAATGGCTTTAATTCTTCAATGAAAAAACACAGACTGGCAGATTGGATTGAAAAACAAGATCCAACTCTGCTGAATCCAAGAAACACACTTCACTAGCAAAGACACAGACTGAAAGCAGAAGGCTGAAAAACAATATTCCATGTAAATGGAACCCGAGAACAAACTGGAATAGCTAAACTCATATCTGACAAAACAAAATTAGATGACACAAAGGCCACTACATAGTGGCAAAGGGGAACCATCCACCAGGAAGCTAAAACAACTGCAAATAAATATGCACAGAAAAATCAGTGTGCTCAATTTCATAAGACAAACAGTACTCAACATGAAGGGACACACAAGTCCAAATACAGTAATGGTGAGCGACTTCAATACCCCACTCTCACTAAAAGGTCATCCAGACTGCCCCCTGCTGCCAGAAAGAATCGAGAGAGAAATATGGGCTAAACTACACCACAGAGCAAATGGATTAACAGATGTCAACAACATTCCATCCGACTACAGAACACACAGCAACTGATGGAACATACTCCCAAACATGTTTTGGTCCATAAAGCAAGCCTTTAACAAATACAAAAGAAACGAAATAATTTCTTATATCTTATCAGATTGGATCATAACAGAATGAAACTAGAAATCAGCAAAAAATACCCCACATAGACTACACAAACACATGAAGATTAAACAATTCACTTCTGAATGACCAGTGGATTACTGAAGAAATAAGGAAGGAAATTTAAGAATTCACAGACACAAATGAAAACGGAAATATAACATACTAGGATCTCTGGGATACAGCAAAGCCAATTCTAAGAGGGAAATTTGTAGACATGAGTGCCTATATCAAAAAATAAGAAAATCTCAAATAATCTAATGATGTGTCCTAAAGTCTTAGTAAAACCAAAACTAAGGCCAATGGAAGGAAAGATATAATAAAGATCAGAGCTGATATTAATGAGACAGAGACAGCACATGCGATCAAACAAAAAGTTGGTTCTTTGAAAAGATAAACAAGATTGGCAGATCACCAGCCAAACTAACCAAAGGAGTACTGCTGCTGTCAGTGACCACAAGGCACAGCTGTGGCATGGCTGGGATGTAAAACAGAGCTGCCTCCCAGGGGGACAGAGCACCTTGAGCAGGGGAGGACTGCAGGTCTACAGCAGGGCTGCACTACACCCACGTTCAGCTCTAATGAAGCTGACGGCCACACGTGACCACCCCTGCTTCTCACCTGCCTGCTGTGGGCCTGGGCCGGGTGTGACTACCTGAGGGGCTCCCTCCTCTTTGGCACATCTCTATCCCTGGCCCTTGCTGCACCCGAGGAGACTCCCCCGATCCCACCACTGGCCCACACCATGCCTCTGCCACTGCCTGGGGCCGGCCTCAGTCTTGGGGAGCCAACTCCAAAATGAGTTCGACAGATGGCTTTGCTCTCTTGGAGGCACCCCTAACAGTGTTGCTAAGCAATCATATCTGTTGTGTGGTGTCCCAAGCAAGCCTGGCTCTGTGTTTCTAGGGCATACTGTGGGCTGCAGGCAGCTCCCCACGAGGGTAACGCATGAAGTGCGGAGATTAAAGGCAGGCAGACTTGATTCAACTCCAACTCCCTGGACTCCGGGGTGTTCTCTGATCTCAGGCTTCTCAGCAGTAAATACGAGGGAGCAGCACCCTCCTCACAGGGCTGTGAAGTCAAAATAAATGTACTGCAGCAAACTCCTGAATGCAGATGTATAAAACTGCCAATTTCATTCAGTTTGTTTCTACCTAATAGGTGGAGTATGCAGCAGAGAGGAAAAGGAGAGGTCAGAGAGAAAGCTGCTATTATGATACTCTTGGACACCGGCTGCCTTCCCAATTCGGAGTGAAAGCTGCTCAGTGCCCACGCAGGAAATGTCACTTTCACTCACAGGCACTGGGAACAAAGGACTTAAACCTAAGTCAGAGAAGCCTGCTTCCAAAGAAATGAAACCTGAGACCAGACAGTGAACATCACCAGCTGTGCTGCCTGTGGGAAGGATACTAATAAATGACCCCAGACACTCTGGTTTCTACCCGGCATCCCCTCCTCCTCTTCACAACAATGCCGTAATTTGTGCAGACCTTTTCCTTCCCTGACCCTCACTGGGCTCAGAGAAGCGGAGACCCCTTGCTCTGGGGATGGAGCATGCCCCAGGACCAGCAACCAGCCCTGCATGGCACACTGCCTGAGAGGAACAATGAGACCAAAGGGAAGGAGCCACACTCCATGTTAACACAGAGTGGACAGAGGGGAGAAGGTCTTGGCCCGTGGTGCTGGCTGGAGCCCATCTGAGGGCCAAGACAGAACACGAAGGGCACAAAGGCAGCAGGGAAGTTATCTCCAGACCTCTGACCTTCCTGCTGTAAGAGGTGACAACTTTCCCCATCATCGAGTCCAGGCTGAGAGGTGTCGTGGCATCTTCTGGCACAGGAGCTATCTTTGCAAAGTATCTCACACCGGGTCTGCCTACACCTCAGTTCTGGGCTCTGCCCCAGTGGGATTACTTGGCACTAGTTTCCCTGTGACCTTTCTAACTTGAGCAGACAAAAAGGCCTTTGCAAGGAAAATGGAAACAAACCACCCTTGGGTACCATCTGCTGGTAAGGAAGGAGAGCCAGGGCAAAGCAAGTGTCGGTGCAGACAGCAGGTGGCTCCATGAGCCCTGCAGGAAGTAGGTACGCACACTTTGTTCACGTTTTGTGCTTCGCAGACCATGAGGGCCAGAGACCCTCATGATATGTGGGGTGGAAGGAAGGAGGCACAGTCCAAGGAGACCAACTGGCTGCAGTGGATGCTTCACACAGAGAGGGGTGGGGAGAAACTCAGAAATATGAGCCCAAGCCAAGGCAGCAGAGCTGGGGTGCAGCTCAAGGAATGTGGACTTGGCGATGGTCAGCTATTATCTGTGCCCAGCAGGGCAGAGAACAGAGGTGGAAAAGCCACCTAGGAGTTCCTTTCTGGGCTCAGTCCCCACTCTCACTGGGGACAAGGGCCTGGTGGGACCATGTAGTGCTGGGGTACAGGAGCCCTGGACTCACGGCAGTCCAAGTTTGCAGATGAATTCAGATTTAAAGAAACTCCATTGACCTAAAGCTAAACCTTAAGAAAACACCTGCTCACCTCCTAGTGGGCGTTTTCAGCTACAAGAGAAAAAGGTGAAGTCATAACTGCCCCAGGGGCCTACAGTCTCTGAGGCCGAGAACTTCCGGTCTAGCTGTGGCTGTCCTCTTGGTAGTTTCTAACTCACCTGCAGCCTGGCCTCCCCTTC